CACGTTGAGGAAGAAGATCCCATGGAGCCTCTCCGCGAAGGGACTGCAGAAGCGCCACTGGCCTGAAGGGAAGCCTCAGAATCGTCCATCAGGCAATTCTTCTCCACCCGAAGAGATGTGAATTGCCCAAAAACAGAAGGCGAATTGTTGTTTTTGGCGATACGTGGGGCCAATGCGGCGCATGGGACGTTTCTGAGGTTGGCCGAAGCCTGGGAGACCTTACGACAGCTCTCCGAGAAGCTCTCAGAGCCCAGGCATGTGTCGGGTGGTGTGGTTATATACATGTCAATTGATGGACAGATTTGAACCATCTCGTTTTTCTGACTGGATGGGCTTGTTGTGGCCACTGAACCCCATTGCCATCGTTGCTTTCCCTTTGTTGCCTGCTCTGCAGCTTGGAACCTCGCTTTGGGGACCCGGAGATGCTGCGGCGTTGTCCTGCCTGGCGGTTGGCGGAGGGTGCCTGGGCCTGGCAAGTTGGGATGTCAACCACTCACTTCAATTGGATTTAGAAGATTGACAACAGTAGGTCAAGGAGATTCTTCTTCACTTGTATGGAGGATTGCCCCACTCTGCATTTTTGAACAAAGTGTGCTAGAGTGTGTCAGAGAACGTACTTCGAAGGGGAATTGTTTCTTGCATTGAACTTGGATTGGCGTTTGCAAGCTCAGCCTATATCCTATATCATATCTACTGAATTTATTGGAGGCCATCGCTAGTAGGTTGGAGTTCGAGGCCATTGCTATTAGGTTCCTTAAAGTCTTTCTCTTAAAGTCTGTGCTGCAGAGCACTGCAGAGTGCTGCTCAGGTTGGTACAGGCTTCGCACAAAAGTCCAGGCGCATCGAGAGCACGCCCGTGTCGGAACAGTCTCTCGCCTGCAAGAGGAGCCTGTTAGGATAGAACTGATAGAACTGTACAGGAGTAGTACTGCATAGACATCTATTTCCGCATCGCTTGGGGGTTTCAGAAACCATGAGGATGGACTTTCAATGTTCGATAGTAGAGACCAGCAGACCAAAGAGACTTCATGTTGGAGTGGAGACTTTGTCTAAGGCCGTTAACGCGTGGCTACAGGCCAGCGAAGCCGCAATACCATTGAGAGTGTTTTTTTTTTTGCTGCGACCTATTGTGATCAGCGTGCTGAGGGTCGCGTGGGGGTCTTTGGGTCTTCTTTCTTGTTTGCTTCGGGTCGCTTGGGATCTACTAGCAAGCGATGTTGGCCATTGACCGGGATGTTGAATGCCAGTCTGCTAGACAGACACCCTTTCGTTTGGTGCATTCTACTTCTCCTCGGAGTTGGCAAAAAACCATTGGTAGCATAGAGGCATAGACACATTGCCGTGACTTTGTTGTTCGCATGGCACCTCTGGCACAGAATTCAATACCTTACATCATAGAAGGGTTGACCATTTTGCCCAATCAGCTTTGCAGGAAGAGAAAAGGAAAGGTCTGATCCTTGAGCCGCTTCAAACGGAAACATTCATTCCGATTGCTTCTTCATGTTTTGGGCTCCCCACGAAGCAATGCGCGAACATGTCTCATGTGTATTGTCAAAGTAGCTGACCTATTTTGCCCAAGCACAAGCCCTAGCCAAGCGCATTGGATGGTGTTCCGAGGCAATGGCATCGCACCTGCAGAAGCCCTGCAGCAGATGCCCCCACAGCTCTTGGAGGCCCAACATCCACCGGGTGTGTTGTGTTTTCAACAAACTCCCGGAGTGATCCAGACATTTTTGCTCGAAAACAATTTGGTAGTCTTTCAGTATTGGCTAATGACATCTAATGACCACTTGCTCTTTTCCCAAGCATTCTTTACCCTAGTTTATACCCTAGCCTATACCTGCTACTCCAGCCTGTTAGATGCTCAGATGGCTTGTGTCACATCGTTCGGCTGATTTGTTATGCCAGTTTCTTCGATCTCACATGCACAGCTCCCTCCCTCCTTCCCTCCCTGCAATCATGCCTGCCTGCCTTCCTGCCTTCTTGCCTTCCTGCCTTCCTTCCTTCCTTCCTTCCCCAGCTCCGTGTTGATTCTACTGCCTCTGAAGCCTGCCCGCTTAAGGTCTGCCCTTTATTGCCAATTTTTGCTCGGCTGCGCTTCTGCTTGGATCCTCCGTGTTCTTGACAGGACACTGGCACTTTCCTCTTCTTGCTCCAATTGTAGATGCGTCGGCACTTCTTTTTGGAGCCAGTGCCAGAGTGCTTCTAATCATAAGCACTCGTTATTTGAGCAACTCTTTTTCATGTCAGGTTGTCACACGTTTGAACAGCCCACATCTCAGTGTCCCAAGGAGTTTGAGGGTGGAACATGGCTTTCTGTCTGAGACACAACTCCTTCCTGAGGCCCTTCTGGACCGAAGTTTGGGCCGCAATTCTCTGAGCCCTTCCTGAGGCGTGACAGGGCGGACATTGGGAATAAAATTATCCGGGCAAGAGACCCCAAACAGTGTGTCTAAAGGTCTAAGGTCTAAAGGTGTAGAAGCAGAAGGTCTAGACCAGAGATCTACAGCAGATGTATTGGGCTCCAGAGAGAGGTGATGATGGTGATGATGGTGGTGGTGGTGGTGGTGGTGGTGATGGTGACTTTGGAAAACGAACCACATGTCCCAAGGTCACGATTCACTGTACCTGCCACGAAATCAGAGCGCCCCGAAGACTTTGAAGACCACCATCGTGTCCAAAGTATTAGTCTGCCACGAAATCTGCACATCGAAGTAAAGCCGCTCGAAAAGCCGACTTTGGACCTCCAAAGCACGAGATTTCCGTTGCGCCTACCACGAAAAGTGACCACGAAGCCCGGAAATGTGCACGTCACCACAACGAGAGCGCAGTCGAGAAGAGCACCCGCGCCAACCCACCAATTTCTGCAAGCCTGCGCAGTCGATGTGCACTTCGAAGATCTCGAGGTCTCGAGGTCTCGAGGTGAATGAAACGAATTAGCCACAAACGCCGATGAGAACCTCCGATCAGAACCCGGCCTTAACCACTAACGTAAAAACCCCTAGTGTGGCCACACTGTTTGGGGACACACAAAAATATATAGAAGGCAGCAAAGCGGTACTGAATCGCCATCGAAAGTAATCTTGGCCTAAGTGAGAACATGTCATCGACATCGGCGTGAGGCTCCTGGGTTCAAGCGGTAAAGCCCGAGACAAGAGGCTGGTGGAAATGGCCAATCAAGAAGTGACTCTTGGCCATAGTGGGTTGAAGCTCTTGGATGAAGATGAACAAGGGGTCAGTTTGATAGAGGGGTCTGATTCAGGGAGGCTTGACCGATTCATGTGCACCACTCTGGCACTTTCTCACCTTTGAGGAAGAGTGCTCAAGCACGGGTATCAATCAGGGAGCTCCTGAATTGAAAGCTGAGCTGGTTAAATTCGGATGTCCTCCTTCAGGGCCGTTTGCCACCATTTCTGGGCCCGGATGTGGTGGGACGGAGAGGATCTTAATGTTGGAGATAGGAACGATCTCCTCCAACAGTGCATTGCATTTGCATGCGACTTGTCCAGAAGAATTCAAGGGCCGTCCATTTATGCGTGATCAATAGCGGTTTTATCTCCATTGGGCTGTGTTCCTCAGACTCTCATGTCTTCCTTCGCATGGAGTAGCTGCTTCGGCGACCCTTGGTTAAGACTTGTTTCCAGAGACAAGCAGTGTTGGCAGGGCTGCTGCCAAGAAAGCACAAACTCAACATTGGCGAACCTCCCGCGGTTTATGGGGTTTTGACATTACTAGATGGTTTGCCACAAACAGTGTTTTGCTCAAATCTGGTTTCTTTTTGGAGACTGCTTTGGTTGCGCTGTAATGGCTGGGTCATTCCGTGCGAGTGATAGCGATGCGCTTGAGCGGCATCTCAAATCAAACAGCATCGAACCATGCATAGTAGTCTCGTGAGTCTTTAGTTTATAATGTATATATACACACACACTGTATTCATACCTTTTTTCCCAGTCGCGTCAGCACCAAGACACCTCCATCGTATCAAAGGAGCCGATCAGGCGAACAGCTACGGGCAGTTTGAAGCTTCCTGATAGCTGTCATCGTGCCGGATGTGTTCAATCGTTTCGGGTGCCGCTATCGGTCATTGGACCAGGTGCCCGTTGTTTCAATCCCTGCATCAGCAGATCGAAAGGTGTGTAACCTTTCGGAGCCAGAGCAGCTCCATTTCTCGAGTTGATTTGGAAAGAGTCTACGCCTGCTGCAAGTTAAGGAACCTGGGTGGAAATGATCCCACCAGCCAGCACATTATCATGGAGCTACAAGCAATGTGCACAGAAAAGTTTTAATTAAGTCAGAGGACAATTAAACCTAATTAATCCATGTTCATACATGTTCATGCAGCTTAGATCAATTCATGCGTCAAGATGCAGCAGGCGTGAATGCTTCAGTTCGGGTGAATTCAACACTTCAGAGTCCAACAGAGATGAACGCCACAGATGGATCCCACACGGTTTCTTTTGGCGAACGCCTTTTGCTGTCCAACTCGGCAAAGCAATTCTATCCAACGTGAGAGCTGAGAGTGACTGGGCTCTGAGGTTGGGGGCAATGATCCACACTTTCTGCAAGGAGAATCTCATTGCATTCAACTGTCATTTGTGGATGGCAGAGTTTTGGACTGCCCCGAACTTTCATCTTCCACCAGATCCTGCAAGATCAGGTTGAAGCAGACCCTTTCCTCCAGAAAGTGGAGATGTCCATAGTCGGCGTGCGCCATGCACCGTAGAGAACTCTGGCGCCAGGGTGCCTGGCGGATGGCCTGAATGTGCAGGGCAGTGTGGCAAATTGACATTCAAGGAACCCGAGGTTCTGAGAGCTTCTTTTGTTTTTTCCTCCCTATATATTAAGGTTGGCCATCGCTATTAGGTTGGCGGCCATAGCTAGTACTAGTGGTCCCTCACTCCCTCCCTCACTCCCTCCCTCACTCACTCACTCACGCTCGCTCGCTCGCTCATTCTCATTCTCATTCTCATTGATCTCTCACGCGCCGGTCCGTATTTGAGGCCAACTCAGACTAGGTGCAGCTAGAATCAGAAACTCGGCTGCGGTGAGGTTGGATTATGTTGGGATGTGCGTCAAGACATGTCTTTCTGGGACTTAGATGAGCTGTGAGAAGGGTGGGGAAGAGCAGAAAGTCTTGGAGATAAACAAATCACAACAGAAGATGGGTTTAAGGAAATCTTCACGCGACTGGGCTTACAGCAGGATGTTGGTTTTTTTGTTCCACAGGAAGAGCCTTCAAGCAGTTGGGGTCTCCACATTGTCACCTCACCAAGTAGCTACCCAGCAACCGAGTCGGCGAGGCACCCAGCAACGCCCCGCTTTGACGGTGGCCGGACCGCTGGAGAGTCGCCCAGACCGTCCCTCGCACGCACCACGCAGAACAACATGAAGGCAGAGCGGATCATAGGTTTTGAGTTGAGATTGGGATTGATGTCCTGGCAATTTTGCAATATGGAGTCTTTGGGCGACTTCACATGGCACTTTGTGTTGCCGGTCATGCTCAAGCAACTGGTGTCCATGCTCAAGCAATTTGTGTTGGTTTTCTCGTGGTTGGCGGATGTGCTTGACATTTTGAGGGCGAGATGATGCGAGTGCCAACATGGAGCAAACTACCAGTATTGCTGGCTTCATTGGGTAGTAGCATCAAGAAGCTACTATATAGTAGCAAGTGCATCTCTCAACCAGGGCATTACTACTAGTAACTTTCTTACCTGTCTTCAGTCTTTACAGCATTTGACGTCTCAAGTTCTCAAGAACATCACCCCTTAAGTGACCACGGCGCCTTCAGGCTGGCAACGGTGGCCGGCCTAGAGGGGCTGGATGTCGCGCAAGTGAGCGTTGAAGAGAGACCGGCATCGTGCAAGACCGGTTGTGCAGAGATTGTGAGTGCTTAGAATGACACTGGACCAAATACAGCATAGTTTCATGCATTCGGCCATAACATGCACAAGTTCGCTTGATGCCTTTTTCCAAACTGGATTACACGATCAACCAGACCGGGCTTGAGAAAGGGCTTGCAGCGGCTTTTGTGAGGACACGCGTGTTGTCAAAATTGAGAAGGGTAGGGATGCGTTGCCTCAACCTTTACTCCAAACCTTTTCAACTCCGGGCAGTTCATTTTTGTGTGACTCGTTTTCCCTCTTGACCCTCACTCCTAGACTCATAGCCGCTACTCTGCAAGAGGTGGCTCCTCAGTTTGGCTCTAGGTACCAAACTACATATGGACAGAGGACAACGAAATGCCGCAAGAGGGGACGACTGCCACAACTAAGTTGCATGTCTTGCAACTTGGGCATCGCACGCAACCCCAACCTCAATCGTCATAGCACGGGCATTTGATTGAATCTCAACGCAGTTTCAGGGCCATGCCCGGCGCGGATGGATTGTGTGCATCAGCCGCGGCATTCCTCAGGAGTGAGACGCCAAGCCAGCCCTGACCATTTTGATTCCAGGTCAGCTCGACTGAGTTTCACTGAGCACAGATCCTGGGAGACAGAATTCTTTTAACTGGGAGACAAAAGTCTTGAGTCTGTCCAATAGGAGTCTATCCAAGATAAACCCAATCCCTCAACAAACTGTGTCAGTGATTGTCGGTGTGTTAGTCAAACAGGAATTAGTAATCAGCGCAAGACAGTGGTTCCAGGCCAGCCATTCGCGACACGGTGCGAAGATCGCGGCTTGCTGCTGTGGAAGCGGAGGAGGATGTTGCAGTGAAGCTGGTTCACAGGCCGAGTCCACTTTCAAGTGCAAGGGCGGCCAACATGGAAGCCTCATGTGTCACACACACCCTCAAACACGTTTTTGTGGGAAATGCATACTTTGGCAGGCTTACCAGCCAATCCCCGCCCTTGCGAACACCGCGGGCCTCTGGGGGTGTCAAGAATCGCCTGCAGGAGGAATGTCGAGTGGATTCAGTTCGTGAAGGGGTTCCGTTAGAATGTTCGCCAAGAATTAGAACTAGACATCTATATATATATATATATATAGACATCTAGATTCTGGCCAGTACTCAGTAACCCACGGCACTTCAAGACCCTTTTCTTGAAGTGCAAGCTTCGTGGCAATGACGGGCAACAGAGAATTAGGGTTTGATTCGGAGAGGGAGCCTGAGAAACGACTACTACATCTAAGGAAGGCAGCAGGTGTGCAAATTACCAGGGAGGTAGTGACAAGAAATAACAATACAGGGCATCCATGTATGGCTTTGCCAAACCCAAACATGCACCTTCGCGTTGCCTTGGCCAGGAGCTTCAAACGCCAGAGCCCATTGCCCGGGTAGAAGTTGGCCACCGCGAGGCAGGCTGTCCTGCCAGATCTAGATTTGCGATGTTGCCACATCTTCGGAGGAGCTCTTTAGATCGGGTGCAAGGGAACGCACTCCTGTGCATCAGTATGTCCGTTTGTCCAGATGGTTTTGCAATTGCTGAGTGCAGGGTCTACAGAACAGGCTACAGCAGAATTGGGTGACTTCATTTCAGGTTGGAGGCCATTGCTAGTAGGTTGGAGGCCATTGCTTCTAGGTTGGAGGCTATCGCTATTAGGTTGGAGGCCATCGCTATTAGGTGGGGGGCCATCGCTATTAGGTGGGAGGCCATTGCTATTTGGTTGTAAAACATATTAAGAAATGCAGACCTTAAAAAGTGCAGATACAAACGAGCGGTGCAGACCTTTGCCTCAATGCTGCTGGCCAAATTGGCCGTGGGCGTAGCAGAGAAAGGAACAGAAGTTGTTAAAGAGACCTTTACCATCCTTTACCATCCTTTTTCTTCCGCAATTCTGGCAAATTTGGTGCTTGCTCCAAGATTCAGAGCCAGTACAGGTGGAGGAACCAATTGTACAGCTGAAGGTGGGCCGAAGTTTGTAGTTGTGTGTTCTTTGCAAGCCTTGAAAGAAGCAAGAAAAAACGCCTTAGAGGGAACTTCACCACTGAAGCGTAGAACACTTGCTCATTTTGTCAGCAAATGTTCGGCACCCAGACACACCAGGATGTTGAAGCATTGCTGGCTGACTTCACGGACGAGCTGCTTTGCAGAACATGACGTCACCATGACGCTTGATTTGTTTGAGCCATGGGGCTATGCGATTAAACGCTCCTCGAAAAGTCCAACCTTTTGGATTTTAAGACAATTTTTTAAAATCAGAATAGAGATTCATTCAGTCATTTGTTTGTGCTTCCTAATTTTTTGAGGTTGTGCAGCTTGGAGGCCGGTGTGGCGCTGTACTTCTCCCAGCAGTCGCAAGAAGTGCAGCGCCTCAACGGTGAGTTGCAGGTGCGAGTAGAAAAGCTGACAAGCAAATCCAGAACGGAAGGACATCAACTTTCAAGATATTTGAATCATATCTAAAGTTTGAAGTCTAAATGAACAAAAGAAAAGTACCACCTTGCAGCTTAAAGTTGCTCTTAGCCGTTCTGTGTCACCAATGCTGCCAGGAGTTGCGCTCTGCGTTTGCATCAGGAAGGCGAAACTTCCCTGAAGACTTGTGGGCAAAGTCTGCTTCGGCTGTGCAGGAGGGGTTGACATGACTGAGTTGGGTCAAACACTAACGTGTGGGCTGCCTGATCATCTCTGGAACGCGAATCTTTTCAGCGGAAATTTTTGGATCCATCTCACATGGTGACAGTCTCAACAACTTGGCAATTTTGACATCATTTGCCATCCGTGCGGGCACGCTCACACATGTGCCAAATGTGAGGCCAGCCACTGGGTTGCCGCCGGTGCAGAGGCTACAGCCAAGACCTTCCGACTGCTGGCCGATGCGCAAATGCCTGTGGAGGCTGTGGGTAGGGTCTCAACTGTTCTTTTTTTGGAGACCAGCCAAATATGCTTCTTGGATCCTTTTGGTTTGCCAGTTTTTTGAGGTCCAGATGCCATTGCTTTCAGAGCCTCCTTTTCGAAGCGTAGGCAGGGGATATCAATCGCACCACCAACTTGGCTCCTTGGCGATTTCGAATGCAGGAGAACCCACGACGTCCACGGCCTCCACGTCCGTCCACCTCCTCCGTGATGAAGAATCCTTGATGAATACGGTGCAAGCGCGCATCGCTGAAGTTGCAAGGCTGGGCATTGGGACTGTTTAAGCTCTGTGCGTTTGATTCCAGTTACAGTAGGCGTTGCAATAGCCTGTTTTCTGCAGTGTTTTTGGACTGGAGCTAATTACATAGTGATTACAATGGAATTGAATCATTTTGAACACTTCTCCAAAGTTTCTTGAATCAGTCTTTTCAGGTCATTTACCGGTCAAAGTTCCTGGCCCGGACGTTTTCATGCCACAGTGGAGCTGCGATTTCTGGAGGAGGCAGAGCGATGGTTTGAGAGTGAGTCTGGGAAGCATCTTCAAGCCCTAGAGCTTGGTGCGCCAAAGAGATCTTTGTAGATCATTTGCAACAAAGAGCACATCATTTGATTCAAATGATTACCCAGACATGATTCTGGGTCTTTTCTTGTCGGATCCATGCCAACAAACATGGTTTGTGAGCCGACCGACTGCCTGATTTCGATTTCGGATTCTGTTTTGACAGGTCAATTTGATCCAAGAGAGCCTGAGAGAAGTGCGGCGCCAAAGGCAGCGCCGCCACCAGCTGCTCTTGGAGGCTGAACGTGCGAGTATCGGGGACGAGACTTCTGCTGACGATGACTCTGGACATCTTTTTCACCTGAACACTTGCTACAGCAGTAAGACGCTACTAGCAGCAAAGGGCATCGCTACTAAGAGCAAGGACGCTACTAGGGGCTCCTGGCCTTACTACTAGGAGCAAGACGCTACTAGGAGCTTTTGGATGACTTCGCTGGGTGCAGGCAGCTCGAAGCCTCCTTGAAGACCTGGGCTGCGAGCCTGTCACCCCGCAGGCCTGCAGGGCTAAGTGAAGTGTACCTTCGCTTTTGTTCCCCACATTGACGTATGGGGTTTTTGTTTAGTGTTGTATCCCGCCCTCCGCCTCCTCCCGCCCTCCGCTTGCCACCAACCAATTGCCACCAACCAACTGCTCACCAGCCAACTGTCACCAACCAATGTCATCAATCAATTGTCACCAACCAATGTCATCAACCAACCGATTGTCATCAACCAATTGTCACCAACCAATTGCCACCAGCCAATTGCCACCAACCAACTGCTGCCAACAAATTGTCACCAACTAATTGTCACCAACCAATTGCCACCAACCAATGTCATCAACCGATTGTCATCAACCAATTGCTACCGACCAATTGCCGCCCACCAATTGTCACCAACCAATTGTCATCAACCGATTGGCATCAATCAGTTGTCACCAACCAATTGCCACCCACCACTGTGATTTGCGTGGCAGGCGCAGCACTTTGGTGTTCTTTAGGGTTGGATGTACGCCTTGGCGTCGCCCTGGCGTCGCTGGGTCTCCGCCTTTGTGCCGCTGTGATTTGCGTGGCAGGCGCAGCACTTTGGTGTTCTTTAGGGGGTTGGATGTACGCCTTGGCGTCGCCCTGGCGTCGCTGGGTCTCCGCCTTTGCGCTGCTGTGATTTGCGTGGCAGGCGCAGCGCTTGGTGTTCTTCAGGGGGTAGGATGCGCGCCCTGGCGTAGCCCTGGCGTTGCTGGGTGTCCGCCGCTGTGCCGCTGTGATTTGTGTGGCAGGCGCAGCACTTTGGTGTTCTCCAGGGGGTTGGATTGCCACTCACTAAATGCTACCAACTAATTGTTGTCAACCAATTGTCATCAATTCCCACCCACCAATTGCTACCCACCAAATGTAACCCACCAATTGCTACCAACCAATTGTCGTCCACCAACCACCAATTGTCCGCTCCTGTGTCTGGTGAAGTTGTCAACGTGTGGGGTCCTATAATTGCTAAGCTTCCGGAATGTGCACTACAGTAGTAGTCGTCGTCGTCGTCCTCGTCGTCGTTGTCGTAGTAGTAGTAGTAGTAGTAGTAGTAGTAGTAGTAATAGTAGAAGTAGTGGTAGTAGTGGTAGAAGAAGTAGAAGAGGTAGAAGTAGAAGTGGAAGGAGCAGTAGTAGTAGGAGTGGTAGGAGCAGTAGGAGTAGTAGGAGTAGTAGTAGCGGTAGTAGGAGGAGGAGGAGGAGTAGGAGTAGGAGGAGGAGTAGTAAAATTTTTTGTTGGAGAGAGCCTGTTTTTTTTTCAACATTTGAAAACATCAAACAAGTCAGCTTAGTACTCATTCCCAAAAGTCATTCCCAAAAGTCAAAGTCAAAAAACGTCAAATCAGAAAGTTGCAGAAAATGATTTCTTTTCTTTACATTTTCCCGGTTTATCATTTTTCCGATTTTTGTTTTGACCTTTTCCGACTTCTATTTGACTTTTCGAGTTGTTTTCTAATGTTGACTCTGTTTTTACGTTTATTTGTCATATTTTGTTTTTGGGGTACTTTTTCGAGTTGTGATCTACTTTTGATTTTTTTGGGGACATGATTTGACTTTTTGACGTTTTTGCCCAAACAGTGTGGTCACACTGAGGGTTCTTACGGTATGTGAAAAGAAGGTGTGCTTAAATCACTGTGCGTCGCGGCCGTGTCCGGCAAGCAGATTTCGTGGCAGGCACAGCGGTTGGTGAACCTCGGAGTGCAGATTTCGTGGCAGGCGCAGTACTTTGTGCTCTCACACGCTCACTCTCTCACTTTCCCGCTCTCACTCTCACTCACACTCGCACTCACACTCACTCTCCCACTCTCACTCACACCCACCTTCACTGCATCGCCTCCATCACCTCTCTGGACCCCAACGCGTCTAGATCTCTAGACTTTCTGCTTACAGACCTCGCAAACACTTTTTGGGGTCTCTTGCCGGGATATTTTGTTTGATTGTTCGTGTTGTGATCTATTCTATTTTTGGATATTTTTACATTTTCGTTTTTTACTTTTCCATTTAACATGTTCACTTTGATTTTTGAATTTTTTACATCAATGATTCTGGCCTTACCATGACAGGAGTAGTAGTAGTAGTAGTAGTAGTAGTAGTCGTGGTAGTAGTCGTGGTAGTAGTAGTAGTAGTAGTCGTAATTAGAGTGGTAACTAGTAGTAGTAAAAAGTAGTAATTTGTAGTAGTAGTAGTAGTAGTAGTAGTAGTAGTAGTAGTAGTAGTAGTGGTAGTGGTAGTGGTAGTGTAGGTAGTAGTAGTAGTAGTAGTAGCAGAAGGAGTAGTAGTAGTAGTAGTAGTAGTAGTAGTAGTAGTAGTGGTAGTGGTAGTGGTAGTGGTAGTAGTAGTAGTAGCAGTAGCAGTAGCAGTAGTAGTAGTAGTAGTAGTAGTAGTAGCGGTAGTGGTACTGGTAGTGGTAGTGGTAGTGATAATTAGAGTAGTAACTAGTAGTAGTAAAAAGTAGTAGTACGTAGTAGGAGTAGGAGTAGGAGTAGGAGTAGGAGTAGTAGTAGTAGTAGTAGTAGTGTACTAGTACTAGTACTAGTACTAGTACTAGTAGTGGTAGTGGTAGTGGTAGTGATAGTGGTAATTAGAGTTGTAACTAGTTGTAGTAAACAGTAGTAATACGTAGTAGGGGTAGTAGTAGTAGTAGTAGTAGTAGTAGTAGTAGTAGTCGTAGTGGTAGTAGTAGTAGTAGTAAATAGTAGTAGTAGTAGTAGTAGTAGTAGTAGTAAATAGTAGTAGTAGTAATTTCAAGTGGTAATAATAACAATAATAGTTATTGTTATTAGTAGTAGTAGTAGTAGTAGTAATTAGTAATGAGTAATTGTAGTTAGTAATTAGTAATTAGTAACTAGTAGTAATTAGTAATTAGTAACTAGTAATTAGTAACTAGTAATTAGTAACTAGTAGTAGTAGTAGTAGTAGTAGTAGTCGTAGTAGTAGTAGTCGTAGTAGTAGTAGTAGTAGTAGTAGTAGTAGTAGGAGTAGTAGTAGTAGTAGTAGTAGTAGGTGTGTGTGTAGGTATAGGTGTAGGTATAGGTGTAGGTGTAGGTGTAAGTAGTGGTAGTAGTAGTAGTAGTAGTCGTAGTCGTAGTCGTAGCAGTAGCAGTAGCAGTAGCAGTAGCAGTAGCGGCAGCAGTAGTAGTAGTAGTAATAGTAGTCGTTGTGGTAGTCGTAGTAGTAGTAGTAGTAGTAGTAGTAGTAGTAGTAGGTGCAGTTGCAGTTGCAGTTTTCCGTCGTCGTCTAGTCACCCTGCCATGGGCCGAGCAGTGAGCTGCGAGAATCATGCGTCAATACTTCTTTCAATCCCATCGCGTATGGTCCGTCTCGAAACACGGACACGCCAAAGCCCCAAGACACAGGTGGCGAAAACATCTCAATGGTTGGTGGTGCCATTCCCCGCAAAGCTCAGCATTTTGCAGGACTCTCCAAGCTCCGCAAGCAGCACAGTGACCCTTTTGGCCGCTGTGGCGTCTGGCTGAGTCAAAAGGATTTGGCCGGAAAAACGGTTGCTGGGGAGCAAAACAGGAGGATAGGCAGGTGAGAACGGGTGGGTCCGAAAAAATAATCAGCGAAGTGGAGTTCCTAAAGCAGTAATCACTGACAGGTTTCTACATGTTTCTACACCGATTCTACACCTATACATCTTAAGTCTAGGGCCAGGATTGGGTGCACAGACACCATCCCGTCACACCACTTTTAACAGTCCGGCTGAAGAGCCAAAACGGACAGTGGAGTTTCTGTTTGAGTTTTGTTCAGCTTTTGTGTGCGAGCGACGCATTTGCTTATGGCAGTGAGTCCTGGCATTGATGTTGCTATCTATATGATGTCCAGGTGCTGTCGCGCGGCATGCGTGGCTGCACCGATGGTCGGCGCTTGTGCAACAGAACAAGCGCATTCTGGGATGACCTGCACTTTGCAGCCTCCAATCATGGCTCATATCACTCTATATTTGACCAATGTTCTCACTGAGTGGCAGCCTCGCCATGCCAGTGTGCTTAAGTCATTTAGTCAGGCAAAGACGGCGTCTTCATATCAGATTAATCGCAGGAGCCACCCAGACCTGATTCTCCGTTCGTTGAAAAGGAGGGTTTATAGGGAGTGGATGCCCTCACATGGCAACTGGTCGATTGTAATTAGTGGGGAGGGTCTTGCGGACTAGTGGCGTCAACCCCAGCAATTCCAAAGTGTTACCACCTTTTCCCCTCACATCAATTGGCATCTCCTCTTTGTAGTGGTCGCCTGCATCGGGGGATTCCTGTTGCGCGTGTAACTCCGTGAGGCTCAAACACAGCATTCAGACCCAATCCATGCGTGGGAAAGAACAAGAGCAAGAACCGCTGAACGGAGAGTAGGCATGAAAAGGGTTAACTGTGATGTATAGCAGTGTTGAGTCTAGGCTTGGGTGCGCAGACATCATCGCATCACATCACGCCAGTTTGAACATCTCAGGACAGTGGAGTTCCTGCTAGTTTGTGTGTTTGCGCCACTGGCCGTTTTTCACCTCTTGTCTCAGAGTCTGTCGCGCAGAGGAGAGAGTGCAGATTAGGCTCAAACGAAATTTACTGTGCTAACGCGCAATCGCTGAGCGACAGCGTTAAGATCAAATCGATGTGCGAACGAAAGGTAGAACGTGCGCCTTTGAAGGGAGAGTAGCAAGTAAAATTATTAACTGTGATGGAAGCAGCAAATGTGGTGGGAAAAGTTTGAACTTGGTTCTTTGCCCATGTCGGTGACTTGAGTCTTCTTTTGCGGCTCATTTGGCTCAGAGTTGGGGAGTCGTATGGGGAGGAAGAACGAGACGGGGGTTGCATGTCCAGCCAACCTACACCTCCACTCGGCTAACAAAGCAATTCAGGCTTTTTGCCCCCCCCACAAATGTATTTCACAAGCTCATCGCGAGCTGATCACAGCCAACTTTAGACTTTCCAGCCAACAGTCAGCCTTGGACCCGCTGTTAACTCTGCTTGGGGGAGTATCACTTAGCTAGGTAAGTGATGCAGGCCCCTCAGTAAACGGCCGCTTTTTCAGGACCCGCATGGACCAAGAAATGAAGCCAGCAAAGTTTGCAGTTGGTTTGGCGATTCCAACACTCTTGAGTTGATGTGAGACATCATCTTGTTCTGGGTGCAGTACAACGTGGATCTCTGATTGGAACAACAAATTGGCAGGACGCAGTTGATCGTCGCCCCCTGCGACGCAGGACTCTGCACACCGAAGGCGTGAGCGAACGCTCAACACGGAGATACCTTTTTTGGGCGGTTGGACTTGCAAAGTCCAAAAAATTATCAGATGGGCAAGATTTCTTGTTTTTGATACGACTTTGAATATGGCCTACTAGATTGGACTCCAAATTGCATCGTAGGTCTGGAGTTCAAGCATTTGTCCACTTTCATCCTCTCGAGTTCAGGATCTGATGCGTCTCGGGACATGGCTCTGATGGACTCACACGCGGTCAGGATGCGTATAGATCGAAGGGATGCGACTCAAAATCGCGTAAGATGTTCAGGTGGCCAGGATGGATTTCAGAACTCAGATCCCCTCAAACTATTCACATGTTTTGCAAGGGCCTGCCCAGATGCAAATAATTTGGCCGTTGAAGGATGGTGGACATCACTGAAGATGAGGCGGTTCTACATCTTAAGAAAATCTTAGGTGACAATCTCAGTGCTTTGTCACCACTTATGCAGCAGGATCAGCAAACTATGCAGGCCTCCTCGGCTTGAAAACTCACTTTCAAATCCATGAACCCAAGCTCTACTGCGTGCTTGTCACTAGTAGATACTTATATTACTTATGTTTACAATTGTTTACTTACCTACTTATCTCACTCACTTCCATACCCCCAAGAGAGGCCACTCAATTTCTCTATTTCCTGTTGGAAACTTGTGTTTGTTGAGGTTGAACACTTTCTCTCCTTAGGTGAGCTGGAGCCGGGCGAGCTGGCACCCTCGCCCTTGCCAGTGAAGGCAGCGCCTCCGGCTCGGGTGTCCCAGATGTGTGGAACGCTTTCAAACAACATACAAAGAGTCCTTCCGTTTGATCCCTTTGACCAGGGGCTTTCAAACTCCAGAGTACTTCCCCATGCGTCTTGTTTCAGCTGCAAATCGCCATGTCAAAGTTCCTTGACTCATTGGCCAGGTTCATGAAAGAGATCGCACAAGCCAGCATTTATTTTGTCCAGGCACCCACGCCGAAGCAGGCTGCGCCGCCACAGGCGCCAGGGCTGCCGGGGCCACCAGGCCCATGCGGCGCATGCGGTATGAGGCGCGCCTTCCTTTGAATGGCTGGCTAGCCCCTAGTAGCGTCCGATCGCTCCTAGTAGCGATGCCAGGAGCCCCTAGTAGCGTCCTTGCTCCTAGTAGTAAGGCCAGGAGCCCCTTGTTGATTTCTGGCCAACGGCTGATGCTGGCCGCAGCACCGCTGCAGGCCGCCAACGCTAGGTGGTCTTCCAGGTATGCCTGGCTTGCCAGGCTGCGTGTGCTGATTTGTGCTAGTTCAATAGTTCCGCTTTCTTTTCTTCAGCTATTTGTCTCAAAACCGACAGGGGCACCACAGATGCGGCCGCCTTTACCAGGCAATCAGAGCGATTCTTTTTTTGTTTGCTCGGTCCGTCAAGTCATTTTCGCTGACTCGTAGCATGGAGTTTTCATGGTTCCGAGTAATTACATACCTATTTTCCTAAAAATCTAGGAACCAAATCATTAGCGCGAGAGTTTCTTCAAGGAAGCTCCCCCCCGCCCAGGCGGGAGGAGCTTCCTTGAAGAAGCGTGAGCTATCCTGCATCCTACCCAGAAGCCGACTAGTAGCTTGTCCCCTTCTTAGTGATATTAAGCAGGCGCCTACTTATACAATTAAGTAGGAGCGGGCTAAAGGAAAAAATCATATTATTGTAGATCCTGTGGAATCCTGTCTTTAAATCAAGCTTACTGAGTACTGTCATCCTTTGAAAATCACTGTTTTCGAGCCTTTCCCGGAGCACCACCAACAGGACGGAGTGCCGAGGTATCAAAATACAAGGGTTCAGTCAACGAGGCATTTGCATAGGGTGCACTTCGCCTTGTAGCACAAGCCTTTTGGTGAACAGTGCAGGGGGTCGAATCTTGCGACTGGCGCGAGGAGCTCCTGGTCCGCCTCCCAATCAACCTCAGGTGTGGGTCGGGAGTTGGGTGTTCATGCCGCAAGAGCTGCTTGGATTTGCCACACATTCCGCACAGTCTGAATATGTCGTGAGCATCAACCTAGGAGAATGTTGGAGAAACACGAAGGTCAAGATTTGGCATTCCTGCAGCCTCGCCAGGCTCCGTTCGAAATAGCACAGGCCAAGGTTGGCCTGGTGGGCAAAGGTGAGCCTGACACAGAGCCAAATGAAGGGGAAAGATGTCACATGACATGAGTTGGCAAATCTTGCACATTTGCCATGAAATGAGTTGCACTCCTTGCAGTTCTGAATAGAATAGACTGAGACCTTTGAGAAGGGCATGTGTCAGACGTGTGTGGATGTGTGGATGTGTGTGTGTGTGTGTGTAACCCTTGGAATCATAGGGATCCTTTTGGATTTGTTC